GACCGGCAAGACCAGAATTTTAGTTTCAAAAGTATAGTACAGTATCTTTATTAAATCTCCACTATGTGGCTCTTCTGATTTAATTTACAAAATGGAAAAAAAAGAAAGGAGAAGGAGAAAAAAGACTAATTTGCAAATCTAATTATTAATAAAAAATGGGAAAAATAGGAATAAAATTAAATTTAAAAAATAGCTACGATAATATATCGTATATACTATATACATATACATGTTCTCATTATTGACTTAAAAATACTCTATTAAGACATATAAAAACTGTTGTAGTCATGCAATCAGTCACCTGGTTTTCGGTATGACATAGCTGCAATTTTGCACCACGCTTAAAGCTAGTGAGCGTTTTATTATTTCTTGTGCTTGCCCTTTGCGAGTTCCAATTGTTGATAGATCGATAGGGAAAGGAACGTTGTGCAGTGGCTGTTCTGCACAAAAGAACGCCTAGGAACTCTGACATCCAGAATTTTACTTATAATCAACTGTCGTACTCCAAACAAAATAAGTTTGGTTTTACTGGGATTGATAAGTAGCTTATTAGTGCAGCACCAGACGGTAATGAGACGAAGATCTTCGGTAACTTTAGTCAGGCAGGAGTCAAAGTCCTTGGATAAGATCGAAAGGTAAACCTTGGTATAATCGGCATATGACTCGACACTTGAAAATTTGACAACGGAGGGTAAGCCATTCATGTAGAGACTGAACACGAGCGGCCCTAAAATAAACCCCTGAGTTATTACGCCATGTGTAACGATTAGTTCCTCAGAGCGAGATGTTCCTAGTCGTGTTGACTGCAGACGGTCGGTAAGAAAGGCTCTCAAACCACTTCGACGCTTTACTGTACGCACCCAGACCTTGCAACTTAAGAGGGAGTGTCCTGTGACATATGCTATCAAATGCCTTGCTTAGATCGATCAGGACCATAGCCTCCTTCTTGTCTATTGCTTTGAAAATGTGACCAGTAACAAGCAGACTCAGGGTGTCGGTAGAGTGGCATTTGCGATTTCCACTCGGGTGGCGTGTGAGGTTGCCTTGTTGAGTCAGAAAGTCATTAAACTGATTGAAAAAAACCAGCCAGATCTGTCAAATCCTACATGGTATGTAGGGAGGAGATGATTTTTGGGCAAAAACTCTTGGAAAAAGCCTATTTCATGGTCAAAATGATTGTTCCGGCCATGGTCCGCCGGCCAGTTCTGACTTTTGGAAAGCGCCCTTAAATGAAAACTTTCATTTTGGCGGACAACAATGTTCTGTTGCAACTTTGCTCGCTCTTATCGCCAGTCTTATTGCAAGAGTTGAAACCTATTTTGCTATTTTGACGACGATAATTAGACATTTGAAAAGAAGACTTAAAATGCCCTGCTTAGTCCCCGTTCATACGTATCTGGTGAAAACGGTCCCCCAAAACGCAGCTTTTCAAAAACGCTCTTCAGAGTGGAGATTTTTGAAAGCGCCGGCTTCTCATTTTCGTGTGGACGGACCAAAACTGAGGTTTTCGAATACGATGATGTCAAATATCATATATACTACTAGCATTATGCATGGTTCGTAAGAGATGGTATGCGTTTTCGTTTGGACGGGCGAAAACTATTCGAATACGCAGTGGCGGATTAGTGTGAAGTATGCAGTACATGAGTTTATCGGGATTCGTGTGGACGTGGCCTGAGTTTCTTTTCTTATTTAATTGAGTTAGTTTATTAACAAGTTGGCACGTTGGAAATACATGTAGTGAATGTCGAGAATTGCGAACTACAAGATGATACAATTGTTTGCTGTAGTGGTTAATATAGTTTATTGTTTGTTCCAGATAATTCATCGAGACCTTGCTGCTCGCAATGTCTTGGTTGGGGAGCAAGAAGTATGCAAGGTTACCGACTTCGGAATGGCCAGAGACGTAAATCAGGAGAATATTTACCAGAAGAAGAGTAAGGTTTGTGGAATATCTTGTCAAAAAGAAATTCTCCTTGGACTTGTTTAATTGTTTATTGTTCCGATAACTGCAGATAGGATAACAGAATAACAGAAACCTTTCAAATGCTTTATGAAAAAATTGAAAAGTTAGAAAATTACCACCGCGGTTTTCCTGTTGACTGAGCTCCGAATTGCTAACTTTTAAAAGCTTACTCGCCTTCCAAGCAAATGAATGTGTCGACATGCCATTTAAATCTGAAATGGTAAATTGGTTTACGGTTTTTCTTCTTATTATGTATTTATCGGCTCAGTCAAAAAGAAACGGCAGCGCAGGTTCTCTAACAGCCTCCGAGTTCTGCATAGTTGTTCACATCATACGAAATTAAGCCAAATTCAATAACTGTTTTATTATTCATGAAAGATATTTCTAAGTTTCTAAGCTTACCTCCAAGCGACTTTAGTAAGTAAGTATAAGCAAGTAAACACTTTATTTAGAGAGGGTAACACTAAATAGCTAGAAGCTACTGAACATGTGGCCCTCAAAAACTTAGAAAAGAAAAAATTACAAAAAATGAAAATATCTAAAAACTATTTCTATCTAATCTAAAAATACTATGATCTAAAAATATCAAAAAATTCTATGAAAATTATACGTGTAATCAAATATTAAAAGCAAGCTAAATATTAAAATGATTAAACTAAGCTTTTCGTTAAAAATTGAATTAAATAACGTCTTGTTAAAAGCAGGAAGAGAATTCTTAAGTCGTAATTCTAAAGATAAATTATTCCATAGCTTCCAAGCTCTAACTAAGGAAGACTTTCCACCCTCTGCCTCGCGTATATACTCAGGGCAAACTAAGCTCAATTTAGCATACCTAGTATTTCTTTGATTATTAACAGTAAAATCTTCGTTTAAATAAATGTACCCTGAATAAGTTTGAAAACTAGGGAGCAACTACTTATCTTATTTTCTTAATAAAAAGGAATCCATTTTAACCTATTAAAATAACTGCACAGATGGCGAATCACCATCAGCAGATAGAATAACCCTAGCCGCCCTTTTTCGCAGCCTAAAAACTCTGTTTAAAGTTTCGTTATCACAACTTGACCACATAACACTAGCGTAAGTTATTGTAGGATGAATTATCGAATTGTAATATAACAATCTTTGCTTAAGAGGTAGATAAACTCTGATTTTTCTGAGAAGCGCTATACGTTGAGAAAGTTTCTTACAAATTTTATCAACATGTTGACTGAAAGATAACTACAGTATCAATGTCCAAACCCAATAAAGTAGCGCTAAAAACATTGCTCACTAATTCATGGTAATTAAACTTCATTAAATATACCATCGAAAAAACTCGTTTATTGCTGAGCATCTTCCAAATGTGGTCAGCGCCGGTTGGTTATGGGGAATTAGCCCGGGGATTAGAGCCAATGAGAAGAGGCGAAATGTTTTGAATTAGTAACAAAAGAAATCAATGTTGTGTTGACACAGGGACGAATTCCAGTGAAATGGACAGCTTATGAAGCACTTCTGTATGGAATGTATACTACAAAGAGTGATGTGTGAGTTGAAACCAAAAGAATTCATTTTTCATTTTCAACGTAGCCTGCGTAGCAAGCGTTTCCGTTTGGTTTCGGAGCAAAGAAATACCGAGGAAGGGGACTTTCGGTATGGACCGCGCGAGAAATGAAACGAGAGCCAAAAAGTGAAAGAGGGGGGAGGGGGAGGGGAACGAAGGAAACGCTTGCAGACAAACCCCTCGATTTTGAAAACCTGCGTTCGCCAGCGAACGCAGCGCCTGATTGGCTCGGCTAGTCGAACAATGTTGACATGTGTCGATCAAAGGTTTGTTTCATATTGAGAGGTCATGTTTGGTACGTGACACACATATTAATTTTCTGTGGTTATTGTTTATTCTGGTCGGCAAGTATTTCCCTCCAATGCAAGAGCATTTTATTTAACTTCTTTTGAAACACAAAGCTCTTCTTGCGACTTTATAAGGGTTTCAGGTCGTTTTATTTGTCTCCTGGATCTGAATAACTAAAGGCGATTTTCTTTTGTCAGGGAATGCGATGGTTTCCTGCAATGTTTTGTTATGCTGGGCCCAGCTCGTTAGTGTTTTTTTTTTGGCGGGATGTTAAATTCTCTCGGATAGTGATTTACAGATACAAATTTTGAAGAATGGATTGCACCTTAAACTGAAGCTACATCAACTAGGAAGACCTGCATTGTGACTCAGTCAAAATTTCTGCTTGGTTCTCCACGCGAACTTTCAGTTGCCGGGTTAGCTTTGTTCTAGGATGCTTTTACAAGAGCACTCTAGTTGTCTGTGCCGTGGAGAGAACGGTAAGCCGTTCTGTCTAGCACGCTTGTCACATTTTACCCCTTCAAATCCAACTTTCTGGAGCTTTAGAGCTAAAACTTTAAGACTTCATTCACCCTCGCGGTCCTTCCTTTTAGACGGATTAAGAAGACAAATGTACAAAGCCTGCATTGATCGTTCGGATTCATTGAGATTTCACCATTAACGCCGTCCACGCGCTCTAAAACACACAAAAAAAATTATTTTGGTTTCAAAAACGCGTCCTCTAAAGTTCATTTCCGCTCCACGGAGGGCCAAACATTTTATTGGTCAATTATGACAGTTGATGACAGCATCAAATGTCGGTTCGCGAACTCAGGCGTGACAGACCAAGTGGGTGGTTTTCAAAATCCCGGGGTTTGTCTGCAAGCGTTTCCTTCCTTTCTTCCCCACCCCCTCCCCGCTCTTTTACTTGCGCCACTTTTCTCGCGGTCTTTGACTAGTTTGACTCTCGTTCCTCGTTCTTTTCGCCTAAACCGCACAGAAACGCTTGCTACGCAGGCTATTTTCAACGTTGTAAGCGTGCAGTGGTTGGGCAACGAATTTCTTCCGTCAACCATATCTTTTGAATTCTCTAAGTGACATTGCTGTGTATGTTATACTATATGTGATTCGTAGCTGTATATCTAGCTAAACGTCGCTGTAACTTTCCATTGAATGATGCAGTTGCATGTATTTATGTCTCTAACATCTTTTTTGCTTTAATGTAGATGGAGTTTTGGAGTTGTGCTTTATGAGATATTCACCGTAGGTAAGATACGATTAGAAACTACTCTTAACAGCCATGTGCTCCCACCCCACCCAACTCAATCCCCCCTCCCCTCCTTCCATTGTACTTTTGTCTCATCGATTTCGAATACCAAATAAAAGAATGAATCTCTTATCAGAAATTCAAAGGGAAGAAGACAGTGCTCCCACAAGACCCTTTACTTTCTCAGAACTAGAGTCATTGCTTCAAAACTACGAAAAAGTACAGAAGAAACCAAGAGCCTGATACCTTGAATAACTTATTCTTTTACTGCATTACCTGGGTTATCTTGTTTGGCAATTTTAATTGTTGTTCTTCCTTGAGGTATAATGAAAACCAGTTTTACGCGAACTCAGAACACAATTACTACCTTTTTTAATTTTAAAATATATTTTTAAGGTGGGTCACCTTATCCAAGAACTGAAGGAAGGAAAATGTATTCGCTCCTCAGTCAGGGCTACAGAATGCTCAAGCCGAGCCACGTAGATGACACTCTGTAAGTAAAAACAAAACAAAACAAAACAAGCCGAGACAAAATTAAAACAATCAGTGACTCCAATATCATAGGAAGTCTAGTTTCCCATAGGCTACAGAGATAATTATTAGCAGAAGATTGAATGTACAGTGTAAGTGGATTGTAGCTGCCTTGTTTTCAGCTATATTTAATTTTGAGGCTTAAATATTAGCCTTGCACTTCTGACAGGAAACTACCATGTACCACAATTTAACCTTTAATCTTAAGTGAAATGAAATTACCAAATGAATAGCATTACCATTCTAGCAATAGGCGGCTCTAAGATATCTCATATAACGTGTTGCCAGTTCTCTCCAGTTTTGGCTACAAGATCAGTAGCTTGGAAAAACAATTAGGACCAAGCATGGCTAAAAAGCTTTCATTATAGCTGCTACGAGGATTTCTTTGAGTCGTTTAGTTTATGGACTGCGCTAATGCTTTAATATTTATCTTCAGGTACCAGATTATGCTTAGTTGCTGGCAAGAGGATCCCGATAATCGTCCAACCTTTGAAATACTGGGACGCAAATTAAAGGAAATGGAAAATCAACACAAGGTATAAGCAACACTATCGCAAAAAAGGCACAGTTCAGGGAAAAGAGAAATTTGGACCTTCTACCTTAGGAACTTGTATTATGTTTTAGTCAAATGTTTTGGTCCATAATCACCATTTTTTGGAGGGTCCGCAACATTCTGTTTGCTTTTGATGGTAATTTCGAAATATGTACGCATGTTTTAAAATATATGTACCTTTCATATCACGATGATGTTACACCCAAGGGTAGGATAAATACTAGTTATGCAATGCCTTCTAAGGCATTATATCGTGAAATGTCCCACGAGTGACTTGATGTTTCTTAGGCCTAGGCCAAACGTCGAACTTTTCATGAGACGAACCAAACTCCAATTTGGTTCAACCTAAACTAAGTTAAGATCGTATGTTGAGTCACCCGTCGAACTAAGGACGGGTCGAAACCAATCAACTGAATCAGACCAAAAAGCAAATTTAGCCATTTAGTGATAAGTTTTCTCCCGGAAGAGGCTAAATATACATTATCTTACAAATAGAGGTTTGTCCCAAATGTAGTCTGTCTATAACAATGTCCAAATGATCGATAGTTTGTCAATGAATAAAGTTCGTATTCCTCTGTCTACTTTACCTGCATCCTGAAGTAAATAGCAAGACCGCTGTCGAATGCTCCTGACGCGATTTCAGGTAGTCTTTTTGTTTCGAAGTGCAGGTGCGTATCCGTATCAGTCTTCGCAGCTTTATGGTAAACTGTTTTTTTTTGTTGTTCTCGGCTGGAAAATTCCCAAACTTGTTTGTCCGTTACATTGTCTGCTTGATTTCTTTTTGTATTACTATTTATCTTGGACTTCCAAAAAGTCCGGATGGTAATTAAAACTCGTATAGCGGAGCTCTCCAGTGGAGCACCATGGGTAAGAAAATTTGGTTATTCATGCATGCGAGAAATTTTGGTTGTCACGTGACCGAACGCCCTTCCGCCCGTCCACCCGTCCTTCCGTCCGCACCACAGGGTAATCAATGTGAAATGATCTGTTTTCCTGTGTCGAGGCTGCAACCTGTGTTTAACTTGATGGTAAACGTCGATGTTATGGTCATCTTGGCCACCCGCACTTTTAGAAAAAGAAAAACAATAACAACAACAAAGGCCGAGTCTTAAAAGCGAGAGATAAAACAAAAACCAAAAAAAAGTCCAATTTGAAAATGAAAATGCTAAATTTTAGCGGCCAGTATGGTGAAAATGAGCGGCAGTGAGAAAGAAAGCGAGCAGGAACACAAGAAACAAAATTTTTGATGAGAACATAAGACGTACGTTTCCTCCATGAAACGTATAACTAGAAAGTTTTACGCTGTAGTCGTGCAAGACAACGACAAAGAAATGCAAAAAAAAAGTGTGCTGCACGTGCAAAGTTGTTGTTGTTTTTTTTTTTGTTGTTGCTAATGAGAGGTATTGTTTTTTTCTTGTTTGCGTGTTTGTTTTGCCGTTCTCGTTGCCTCCGTCGTTTAGCATTACACGATTGTATTTTTTTGCCAGTAAATTATCAAGTACAGTGACGAGAGCTTCTCTGTTAGCCCTGGCTAAATATGTATGTTAGTGTTGTTTGCAACCTTGCTTCTCAAACATTGGTTAGAACAGGAGCCCATAACCCGGAGCGTGCAACTGCCATAAATTCGTGCAACGGCGTTTTTACAAGTGAGTTTATTTTTAGGTAAGCTTTTCCCGCGAAAAATGACTGTTGTCGCTTGGACCTTTTCACAGTCGGCTGTTTCGAACATGATTTCGATTTCCATTTGCGTGAATTATGCGTTGTCGCCGATGAAGTAGACGTCCCGGGCTCTTCTACGTTTTGCAGATCTTCCTCTGAACCGCTAGTTTCCGTGTAAATACTGAAATTGTCGCTTGAAGTACTGTCAGAAGAATCCTCTGAAGATTCGTCACGTGCGTCCGCCATGCTTTTTTTTCAATGTGAAGAAGTTGTCCTGGTTACGTATTAAAAGTTTATTATTGATGATGCACTTGCTTGTGATTGGCTTTCCGAAAGCAATTCGCGGGAAAGGCTCATCTAAAAATAAACCTACTTATGAAAACGCCGTTGCATAGGCGCAGTATGGAAGATAGACGCTCCGGGTTATGGGCTTTTAGCTCTCGCTATCTGGATATCCGCTCTATTTTCGGGGAAAATGTGGAGGCCGCAAGCACCGCCTTGATTTTTTCGTGAAATACGACCCGTTTCATATCGCAGAATATGTAATATGGATTTCTAGTTTTCTTATTGGCTGTATTCTGAATGGCGTGGGATAAAACTCCTGGTCATCGAATACTCAATTACAGTTGCAATTAATACTTGGCTCAGTGTCTGAGTAAGTAACGAGCATTTTACACTCTTTTTTTCTCGCAGAGGCTTATCAACATGAAAGACTACGACAAGAAGCTGTACGAAAATGTGGAGGATTTAATGATTTAGAAGGCAGTTGCCAGCACTCACAAAGTAGTTTTTTTTCTTTTGAAACTCCGATGAATAGAGCTCTGTGACTGAAAAGAACAATCACGAACTCATTTTGCTTAAAAAGTTAATTGTTTATACTATTACGCTGACTAACGCCTTTTTGAATTCTTTAAGGCTAGATCTTAACAATCTTTTAAAATGATGAAAAGGGCAATGATAATAATCAGAGCAACTGTATGTACCAATCATTGTATACAATGGGCATACTAATTAAAATCGTTTCTTAATTTTTAATATGTTGACAGCTAATAGAAAGGTGTATAATAAGCCGTCTTTATATTCTAACCACTACCTCACGGCTAAAAATATATTTTTAAAAAACATTTGGGAGAGTTGTACTTTTTTAATCGTGCAATAAAGGCTGCTGAAGCTCAGCGGGATCGCGCTCCACCAGTGAATTTTAGCTGCAAAGCAGTCGTTTCCATTGTGCTAGTCTCACAGGCAGTCGTTCTTTGAAACACAAAACGGCCGCGCAAGATACTAGTCTAGGAGAGGAATACTTTAGGAATATTTATGCAGGGATGCCAGTGAAACCCTTGGATTCTTAACCTATTTCAGACTTAGCTTGACTGAATTTCACTTCTTTATACTGGACTAAAGCCCAAAAATCTCTCCCTATTCTAGAGTCACTATTTTCCAGCAATTTCTGAGGAAGGCGCTCTCTTTGCAATTAAACTGAGTGGCGGATAAATTAAGATTTGGGGATTTTATTTTGTTGAGTGTCAATTCCTGATTTTTCAGTCTAGACTAAGACTTTCAACCAATTGATCAGAGTGGAAAATGATGCCCTATTGTAAACCCAAACTCTCTGATTTCTTTACCATATCCCAGACTAAATTGCTTGAAAACCATACACTTCACAGCAACAAATAGCTACAAATACCTATATTAATACAGTATCTGATATATGGATATATGGTAGCCCTCCCTGCTAGGGATGGAGCGTATCACGATTGTCAGAGGGACACACAGGGGACCACATACTATGCTACATTATCTGCTTGAGTGGAAAATCTCAGACGTTAGAAGAATACAAAATTGCATCCGCCTTTTCCATCTTTCGATAATGGTCCAAGGATATTTCCTCACGGTCTAAAGTGTTATAGCGGAGCTCTCGCGCGCGAAGCGCGCAGCGGAGCACCATGGGTAACAAAATGTGGTAAACTACCCATCCGAGAAAATTTGGTAATCACGTGACCGTACACCGACCGCCCGACCGTCCGTCCGCACCACAGGCATACCAACGCAAAATTTCGGGTAGTCTGTGGTGAGGGTTTTTTGGCGCGAAAACGAATGGCAACCCGCGTTTTGTGAAGCATAAACAACTCTATTAGAAGTCCAGGAACGTCAACTCAGAACAAAAAGAAATTTTTCGTGTCGGTTGACATTTTTTATACATCCGTATTTTCTACATTATTTATTTATTATGCCCTCTAGTTTGAAGTATAGAGATAAAGAGAGGCAGAGAAAACGAGAAAGTAGGCGGCAAGCAAGCCAAGCTCAACGAGAGAGAGAGCGGCAGGGAGCTTGAGAAAGGAGGCGAAACTGCTCTGACAAGCAACGGGAGAGGGAGCAAGAAAGAAAGAGAGAAAGGAGGCGCAATTTTACTGACGAGCAACGGGAGAAAGAGCAGGAAAGGGATAGAGAAAGGAGGCGCAATTTTACTGATGAGCAACGGGAGAGAGAACATGAAAGGAATAGAGTCGAGAAAGGAGGCGCAATTTTACTTATGAGCAACGGGAGAGAGAACAGGAAAGGGACAGAGAAAGGAGGAAACATTTTACTGAGGAGCAACGCGAGAGAGAGCAAGAGAGAAACAGAGAAAGGAGGCAAAATTTTACTGACGAACAACGGGGAAAAGCGCAAGAAAGAGAAAGGGAAAGGCGATAAAATTTCACTGAAGAGCAACTGGAGAATGAACGAGAGAGAGCAAGAGAAAATAGACGCCTAATAAGCGACGAGCGGCGAAGAAGGGAGCGAGAGACAGCAAGGGAAAACAGGCGTCGTATAAACGAAAAACGAACGAGAAGGAGGAGAAGGTGAGCGAATTTTTGCCGAGGTTAGCTTTCTGGTATAAGAATCGGGGATTTTACGAAAACAGAGGTAGCTTTTGTTTTGTTTGTTAATCAATAACCTCTTTGTAATTGCATCAGTTTTTTTGGACCAATCACCACACGTCATTTGTTGTCACGCAGTCTAGAGTTGATACTTTTATCATCCATTGAAGTTGACCTGTGTCCTCCAAGTTCGTTGAAGAGAAACGATATGATTGAAATTTCACTTTAACAAGACAGTCGCGTCCAAGATAAAATTATAGAGTAACCTTATAATTCGTGCTCCTCGGTGTATTTTCGTTGTTCCTGGCGCGGAAAATAAGGTAATCTTAAATTGTATTAATGAAATTTTAAAGATTTTCAATGTCTGTTGAAAGAGCGTTTTGGTGCAGATTGTTCGAGCTTACCTCTATTTGTTTTATTCAGGGTAAACAGAATTTGAAGGATCTATTCTCCCTCTTGTAATTGAAATAACTTTTATTATTTTACTATGAATCTAGGCTTTTCCATTTTGTAGATACCTATCTTCGAGTGTTTAAGAATATATATGGAGATCTATGTAAATAAGGAGGGAAGCCAGGGTTAGAAATTATTTTTGAATGTTGACAGGCCAAACAAATTTAAGCTTGGTCATGTCTAGTTACTAACCGGTCAAAATAAATTATTACCTGCCAAACAAATTTTAGCTCGGACCGGTCAAAAGACAGTAAAAACTCGTAGGTAAGAACCTGGATTTTCCCATTGCATTAACAGGTACGTTCTTACAAAAATAGTTATTGGCAAAAAATTTGTCTATTTTTCTAAAATGAAAAGGTTCTTATTTTCTGCAGGAAAAAAACATTGCAGCTTATGTCTCCCAAAGAGGTTCACCTGAATATTTTCCAGGTGTATAGAATTTTTTTTATAGATTTGAGAAAATAAAGATGTGTGTTAAATATTGGGCTAAACAGGTTCTTGTATAGAGCCTGGGGCCTAATTATAACTGGCAAGTTTAGCCAAACAGGTTCCTAAAAACCAGGTTCTTAGTCACAGCTAGGTTTTTACTGTATTGAAGACATTGTACTTTGCAGTAATAGCCAAATTAAGACAAAAATTATGTGATCGTAAATGCTCAAAAACTCCTTGTGTTGAGAGATGAGAAAATATTATAAACCAGTTTTGAGTGTGGTTATCAAGTTGTTCATTCATTGGAGGGTACAGTGTAGTAAATAATATTTCCAGGAATATTGTCAAGCTCAGCTCGTTTATTCTTAAAAACAATTCCCCATAAGAGTTAAACCAGAAATCACAACTTTTGGCTCAGTATTGTTCTGACATGTTTTCTTTGAACAATAGGTGTATGTAGGGGTGAGGGAAAATTCTTGCCCAACTAAAGATTTTATCTTATCTTCTTAGCCATGGAAGAACATGAAAGTCAGGTCCTCCGGGTTGAATGTAGCATGGAATGCTCTCTGCACTGGTGAACAAGAGCAAAGTCACTCAGCAGGTACTGATATAGTTCATGGTAGATGGTATTTATTATAGAATTGCATAATTGAGTAAAATCACGCATTCTGATTGGTTAAGGAAGAGAGGTATTCAGTGTGGAATTGCGAGTTGAAAACGAGGCTAAGGGATGTTTTTTCGCATCTACGTAACAACTATCGTCAAATTGTAACACAACAACTGCTAAAAAGGTTTTCTACAATGTCATTTTAAAATGTTTTCAAAATCATTGTCACCTTTCGTATATCCTTTCTTAACATACTGAAATGTCGCCTGGTCCTCCACCTACTGTTCCAACCTAAACTGTATTTACCTTTTGCAAAAGCGTCTAGTGCGGCTCATAACAAAAGCTCACTATCTAGCAAATACCGCCCCTTTGTTTAGCCAGCTTAAAGTCCTTGACATATTTAGTATTAATTTATTTTCTGTCACTACTTTTATGTATTGTTATCACCATAATCTTTTGCCTAGTAGCTTTCGTGACTTGTTCTTAAGTCCATCAATACCAAAATTCGACTGGCCTCTCAGTATAGACCTCATTTTTGTAGATCAAATATAAAGCAATTCAGCATCCTTTACCGAGGACCTAAAATCTGGAATTCGTTGCCTGTTTCACTAATTAGCTCTCCTTCTATATTTGTTGTTAAAAAAAATTTAAAGAATTATCTCACTGATAGCCGATCTGTCGCTTAATTTTCTGATCTTGCTCACTCTGCACTCAGCCATGAATTTAGTTCACTAGGTAGTTGAAGGAAGCCTATTAATATAAGCTTCAAGCTTCGTTAGACTTCCTTGTCACATTAATTTTATAATTTAATTAACACCTTTTGTTTATGTTGTATAAGGTTTTGTGAGTGACTAAATAAATAAATAGTTAAAAACAAACAAAAGCATTTTTTAAAGTGATCCGGAGGTTCTTCCTTGTTTTGAACTAAACTACAAATTCTTGGAGAGGTATAAAAAACCCCTTTCGCTAGCGACAATGAGAAAACAAGAAAATCCTGTGAACACAGCCCAGAAAATAACAAGCCAAATTCAAACAAACAAAACGGAGAAGCGACAATGGAGGAAGTGCCAGGGTCAATTGTCACATATACAGAAGAAGAAATAAATACCTTCAAAGATCACATTGTCCCTGAAACACGAAAAAGAGTACGCCACTTGCATTTATCCTGAATCGTGGTACTTAGAAAAGTACAAAACAGAGCTGAACTTGAACAGCATTTTTAAAACATTTCAAGGTACTTACCTTATATCAATCGCAACGTTAAACTTTCAGTGCTTTGCCTTGGACACTTCATTTCTTTCAGTTTTGCTACCGAAGAGGTAAAAGGTGTAAATTATTTTCCTTCACGAGCAAATGACCAATTTGAAAAAGGATGTTATAGATAACCGGCTTGTAAATTCAGTGAAATACCT